GATGTCTGTCTGTGTGACTGGGGTTTGTGGCCAGCACACAGCCCTGGTTAGAGTATCCATTTCACCCCGTTGGGCTTAGGAGCTTGTTCTAAGATTCTTTTTTAGTGAATTTGTACAAGGGTAAAAAAAAAAAATCTTTGTTCAAAATGCTTTGTTGTACTTCTGAGGGTTGTCTTTGTACATACTCCCTGAAGCCCAGTTATTAGATGAAGGGACACCGTGTTTTGTAGCTTTCCGCCGTACTGTTTCCCACAGAGATGCATCTGTGTTTAATATTTGCAGCCCTGTTCCAGGCGCGTCTTCCCTGGCACCCGCATACCTTGTGCTTCACTACTTTATGTTTTAATGTTTTTGGTAATTCAGAGGCTAGGTTTGACTTCCTTGGTAAAAAAAAAAATATATATATATATTTGATCTCCAGAACTTTCTCCTTGCTATGGGGTCTTCTGCTTTGGGATTAAACTGTGTCCCCTTTGTGTGTAAATGTTCGCCATTGAGGCAGATGTACTGGCAATGAGAAAACCTGAACAAAGGCAGCATTTCTCCTGATTCATAACTGAAATAAACATAAATGACCTCTTCACTTGTCTCAATGACTATCAATTTCTATTTTGCCTGCACCGAGCTTGACTGTGGGTGGGTTGAGAAAAGAATGCAATGTGTCACTTAAACAGTGAAGACTTGAGAACCAGGAAGACTTGACTTAGGTTTAAGTGAACCGCCATCACGTTCTAGATGTGTAGAGAAGGGTAGCTACTTGGGGTTTCTGAGACTTTCCCCATTTGGAAAATGGAAGTCATTATAATGTTATTATTAAAACAACCACAACAACAGTCACTATGGTTGTGGTGAGGGTGAATATATTGGGTCAGCGGAAAAGTCATGACACATTGTTGCATGGAAAAATACATCATGAATTTTTCAATGACCCAATAATAACAGTTTCTTGCGTATTAGGAGTCAGTAACTGTTAACCATTACTACATCACAGTCATCCTCGTTATCATTGTCATCACCCTCATCTTCATTATGATCACCTCACCATCACCATCCTAATATCATTACCACCAGCATCATCACTACCGTTACTCTCATCGCCATCATCTTTTTTGTCATCGTCATCACCATCATCGTCACCATTATCCTCATCGTTACCATCATTACCTCATCCTAATCACCTCCACTACCATCATCATCATTTCCATCAGATGCTGAGTTCTCTAAGGGGCCAAATCCCATCCCGCTCTTCATGTCTTCCCACCGACTGCTGTCCTGCAGATGACGTAGAGCTCTACACATAGAAGACAGGGTGAGGAGAAGAGAGGTGCATTTTCAAGCAACCTTTCCATGGGCTTGGCTGGGGGGTTGGGATTTTTGACATCCAGGTTGTCTGTTCTATCCTCCCTGTACTGTCTGTGAGTCATCCGGCACGTTGTTCATCCTTTCAGAACATCACTGAAAAATCATAAAGGAATAACCATCTTAGAGGGCGTCTGGGAGATATGAATAAGATACAGCACCCCTCAAGTAGAACTTCATTTTATGGAGTAATAATATTGGTAACAGTGGGACGAGGCTGGGTCACATAAGGTAAAAACTGTCTCCAGCACTCCAACTGCCTAACTCATCACCGTTCCACATTTGCCTCCCCAATGTCCTTATGCTGGACCCTCGACCTGGCGTTTCCCACCCTAAATTCAACCATTCCTCTGTGCTCCTGGATGGCTGTTTGTGGTGTGTCTGGCCTGTTGGCTCCTCCCTCTGGGTCTCCAAGGGAGCTTCTTAGCATTTATTTTCTCCTTTTCCTTATTGGATGACAGTTGCCTATGTGTTATGCGTGTGTGTGTATGTGTATGTATGTATATGTGTGTGTGTGTGTGTGTGTATTTTAACACTGCAAATAGTGACCTTGGTCTGGTTTGCTCACAGTTGCTTTTGTGGCTTCCAACAATCACTCATCCATTCAGCCAATATCCATTACCTGTACTTTGTTAACACTGTTATTGGGCAAGGGTTTGCCGGATTGGGGTGCTCACTAAGAAAGACAGGGAGTCGGTGATGTGTAAGTGAAGATGTGCTTGTCCACTGTGTCATCTACCACCTTGGACTTTCCTTGAGCTGGTATGAGCGTGTAGGCAACACCTACACGCTCATATATGAAGGGAAGGGAGTTCCCTAGATGGTGGGAGTGCTCTACCAGTTGATTGCTTGTCTCGGAGAGATTGTGGTGGTAGTGTTGTCTGCTGGCACAATTAGAGACAGATCATTTACGTGTGTTTTAGTTCCTATGGCTGCCATAGCTAACCACAGCTAACCACAGACTGGGTGGCTTAAACAACAGATGTTTATTATTTCACACTTCTGGAGGCTGGAAATCCTAGATTGTGGTGTTGGTAGGGCTGATTTCTCTGGTTGTTGTGAGAGAGAATCTGGTCTAGGACTCTCCCCTAGTTTCTGAGAGTTTGCAGGCACTCCAGCCTTCCTTGGAATTAGAAGCTTCACTCCACCCCTGCCTCCATCTTCACCTGGCCTTCTCCCTGTGTGCATGTTGCTGTGTCCTGAGTTTCGCTTTTCATAAGGACATGACCATTGCATCAAGCTCACCCTACTCCAGTATGACACATCTTAACTTATTTCTGCAAAAACCCTGATTTTCAAATAAATCACATCTAAAGGGAACAGGGGATTAGGATTATAACATCATTTTTTAAATTTTTTTTAGAAAGAGAGATTTTTGGTATAGGGTGTGTGCACTCGCTGGAGAGACAGAGAGAAAGTGAGAAATCACCCCCCCAGAGGGAATGGCCACGGCACAATCCCTTCTCCGTTAGTCTCCTCTTGGGATTTTGGGCACACATGTACAGCTGCCTGGCATTGAGTTTCAAGTCACTGAGTCTGGGACTCGAACCACAGTCAATTAGGTTGGAGTCCAGCAACCTAACCATTATGCTATCCACTGGTCCCGGCATCTTTTTAAGAAACACAGTTCAGCTGGTAACAGCATGTATCATTTATGTCCTTCTGATCCACACGAAAGCCTGTGAGGTAAGCAGTGGCCCTGATTTACATTGAGGAACCAGAGGGAACACTGGGCTGATAGGTTTGCCTAGGTACACGTGGGTTAGTGAGCACGACTGGGTTGCAAACCTAAACCTTTCTGACCTCTGAGCTTCTACTCCTTCCAGAAGTTTCTCAATAGAGCATTCTTGACATTTCTCAGAGCAGGATGGTTCTTCTTTGTGCAGTGTTGGCCACTGTCCTGCATGGACTCAGTGTTGGCCACTGTCCTGCATGGGCTCAGCATGTCTGGCTCCGCCCATGAAGAAAGAACGGGCACCAGTCTTTGTGATTACCTTCAGGGACACATCGCCCCTGGGAGGCTATTCTGAGTCCTGTGCTCTTCCCAAACTTGTCTGTTGGCAGGAGCTTTTCTGCAGGCTGCAAGGAGCCAGCCAAAGTTCTGTGCATGTCACTATCTAAAGGAACTTGAGTTGGGTGTCCCCATAGCCAGAGCCAGAGGCCAGCCATGTTTCCTGAAGTGGGAGTGGGTGAGTTATCAACTGCCCCACCTGGTCATATCTGATCTAGGTCATTTGTTTTGCTAGAAGTTTCTAGAAACTCTTCATTTAGCCAGGGCTGAGGGAAAGCATGTGACAGGGAGGTTTATCCCTGAAATGAACAACCGGGCTCACCCAGCCTTGTAGCCCAGTGTGTGTAGATTTGAAAGCCACACTTGAATTTTGCCTTTGACATTGGAGAGGGTAGGAGCATTCATGCATAGGAGTCAGATTTCCTGGGCTGGGAGTGGGGGCGGTGGTCCTGGCTGCTGCTGAACTGAGGCTCATGCTGACAGTGGCAGGATCACTTTACCAGGAACAAGGGACGTACCCTAGGCTGGCTGTCTCGGAGATCGTAGGGCCTTTTGCATCTTTGCACACACACACAGAATCCCCCAGGCAGAGAATTGGCTCCAGCCTCATATGCACTCAAACTTCATTGTTTCTGAATGCCTTTGCAGTGATAAAGCAAATTCTCAAGGTCCCACTGATGCCTATATTGTAGAATATAATTTTAATTCAACAAAAATTAGAAGTCATGGTTAGAAGTGGATTTGGCCTGGCTTTTGTTTCTCCTGGCTTCCTGGTGAGTCTCACAGAGGGATCTGGGAACAAGACCAAGTTGTTATTCCAGTTCTTAAAGGCGCTTTTGTGATTTTTGAAGTGTTAGTGATTGGTGCGTAGACCCTGTTGATACTATTTAACTTTTCCAAAAACAAGTTCCCGTGGCAAATGATTAGGTTTTTCATCAAACTGGTTTTCATAATTGCTGACCTTCATCCTTTGGGAGGGATGATGTCTGTGTCTTTGAAACTTTTCTATCTCGAATCAGCGTGGGTGGTCTGCAGACCCTTGAGCTGTGGACTTTGGCATCAGTGAGGTGACAAGACAAAGTATCCACCTGTATCTGAAATGCCAGGGAGCGACCAGCATAAAAATTAAGTTACGCCAGCACCCAGGTGCTCAGTGTGTGTTCCCGGACTGGCAAAAACAGCCTCACCTTGAAATATGTGAGAAATGCAGGTCTCAGGCCCCCTGGGCCTGCTAAAGCAGGTGTGGGTTGGGACGGGGGCACAGGAGGAGTCAGTCGTCTATGTCGTAATAAAATCTGAAGTTTCAGAAGCCCTGAGCAAGTGAGAGAACTGCCCGAGGCCATCGGGGTTACTGATGAGCAGAAAAACACTCAGTACCAGATGTTGGAGTCCAAGGTCAGAGACCAGGCCAAAGAGACCAACATCATGATCTGAGCTTTTCCCCTCTTACGTTTACCAAGCGACCCTGTCCAAGTGTGTGCAGGCTTTCCTTTCCAGCCTGAAAAGGCGTGAATCTGATGCTCAGAATCATTAGGAAGGGGCAAAACCATATGTGACATCTTAGGGCCCCACGTGGGTGACTCAGGTGGTGTTCTGCATCACTAATCAGATGTCTTTGTCCCTCCTGCAGAAATGCATTCGATTTAATCCGGACGCCACAGTGTGGGTTGCCAAGCAGCGGATTCTGTGTACGCTGAACCAGAGTCTGAAAGACGTCCTGAACTATGGGCTGTTCCAGCCCGCGAGCAATGGGCGTGATGGCAAGTTCCTGGACGAGGAGCGTCTCCTGCGAGAGTACCCCCAGCCTGTGGGCAAGGGCGTCCCTTCCCTGGAGGTATTTAACTCACTGTGTACCGGTAGCTCATATTCTTTCTTACAATACTATTTATTCACTGGCAGTGACAATTTCTACTATTCATTTCTAGCCCCAGTTTGGTTTGGATTAGGAAATGACCCTCAGATTAAAGTCAGTTTGGCGTTTTGAGATGACATTTATAATGTTACTGCAAATTGCAGACTGTCAAGCTATTTTTATTTCTTAATCTATAATTTTTTTTTTAAATCGTAGAGTTAATACATTTGTTGGGAAAAATCTTGGTGTGAACGAACCATGGGTCCAACTGAAACTCATGTCACCAAGACCTATGAGTTGTGGGAACACAAAAAGGGGCTTGCTTCTGCCTCCTCAAGGGTATCCCCAACTTGTGACAACAGATGCATGGCATCTTTTCCAGCCCAGCTGCTCCAAGTCTCCGGACATTCATTGGGCAGGTCGCAATTAATTTGGTTTTGACACTAACTGCCCAGAATTAGTGTAGACCCCACGGTTAAGGGCTCAGGCCCACAAGACTGCCCTCAGTTCAGAAGCCAGTCACAAGTATTGGATCCCCAAGTCACCTACGTTTTTCTTAGGCTTGGCTATATATCAGGGTTTTCTGTGACCTTCTCCGTGGGTGCCGTGTTTGACTGGAGTGGCTCACAGAGCTCAGGAAGGCACCTGCTGTGCTGTCTCTGGTTTGTGAGGAAAGATCCCAATCAGCCAGAGTAACAGGTACAAAAGACAAGGTCCAGAAGGGTCCAGCGCTCAGGAGCTTCTGCCCCATGGGGTTGGGTGCACCACCCTTCAGGCATGTAGAAGTGTTTGTGACTCTGGAGCCCCCTAAACCCTGGTATGCAGGGATGTTTATGGAGATCTCATAACATAGGCATGACTAGTTGAATCCTTGGCTATTCATTGGTGGTTGAACTCCATCTCCAGCCCTTCTCCCCTTTCGGGAGGTCAGGGGTGAAGGCTGCAAGTTCCAGCCCTCGAATCATGGGTTGGCTGATCTGGCTACAGCCTTCATCTGAGGGATCAGGAGTCATCTCATTAGCATACTGAAGCTACTCCTTTCACTCCAGAGATCCCATGGGCTTTAGAGTGTAATTTTTTTTTTTTTAATATATAACACTCCCTAAATCAGTCTCCCTGCCCTTGGGCAGTAGAGTGGCCTGTGGCCATTCAGTTGCTGTCACTAATGCAGCTTCCTGACTGCTTCCTGCCCCAGTAACCAGGGGGTTCTGAGCCCCTCTGGCCAGTCACACACACTCGGGTTCCCTCTGAGCTTCCCTCAGTAAGATGGTGAGACCTTACACTTTTCCATGCAAAGCATGGTCCTTGACCCTGTCTCTTTGACCCCCAGCTTGCTGCACCCCAAGTTTATATACACATAATGTTTCCAGCAGTGTAAATGTGTGTAAATCAGCTCCACAAGTAGCCGGAAACAGGGTCATTTCTACCACTTGCACAAGACGTTGCTATAATTAGATGATACCATTCATTTCAGCTTAGCCAAACAATGAGCCCGTAAGTGTGGCACTTGATCTGACACTTCAGCAATCTAACTGTGTTCTGTGATATTCTCGGTGACCAGCGATTACTCTGCCGTTCGTGCTGTCATGAACACACATTCAGAGTCAGGACGATGTTCATCTGCATGTTGCCAGGTTCCATTACAATTTTGAGACTGGGGTCATTGGGGTCCCCATTTATATGCAACACACGGCAGACCAGAGGGAAGGGTTTCCGTGGAGGAAAAGATGGGATACAGGGCACATCTTCAGCCATTGTGACTTTGGTTTGTGTATCTATGAAACAGATATCCATGGGGAAGCAGATCTGTCACTGATGGCCTACTAAGTGTCAGACCATCCAGGCACATCCCGCATGCTCAGGAGGTGGAGGTTCTGCTCACGTGGCGCTCACGTGGCGCATGCATGCAGCGTACACTCAGTGGGAATTGCCAGACCAGACATTCTGAATAAACTGTTTATTTCAGGGACTGATATTTCTAGAATGGTGGCAACTGGGTGAGAAGACCAGGAAATCTGGGAGCCAATGTGTGATCTAGTAACTGTGCAACCTGGGGTGTACCACTCGGCCTCTCTGAGCTGCACGTTCCCAACTGTAAAATCACCTGCCCGTGGCCCTGAGCCCATCCTGTCAGGGAATTTGATGTGCAGAGCTGAGAAGGGTCCGGGCATTGATGTCGGAAGGGCAGGCATGGGTCTGAGCGCTTTGCCTTGGATTATTTCAGCTACTTAGGAAATGTGGAGAAAACAGCAAGACAGGGATTTTGGTTCTGAGCTAGTGTCCTCCCATGGCCACGAGCAGTAAGGATTTATGGTTGTAGAATAAATGTTCTCTTAAAAATTTACTCTTCTGGGACCAGCTGTTGGCTATTGTGGAGGGCGACAATGCCCTACAGGGGACCACGCCACTAGATGGCGCCGAGCGGAACTCCCTTACTCGCGTAAAGAGTAAACAGATTCCTAGAAGTTCCTTACCCGGAACGCGTGCACTTGGAGTCTAGCCAATAACAAGTCGCATGATCAGCACGGGACTCTCACATATGGCCCATATGATAGGCTATATGCACTTCCGTACACGTGTACACAACACTGATTGGCCACTTTACTCCTTTTATTCTGGCCCCGTCTCGGGGCGCGCGGCAGCGGACAACTGACTACCTCAGGGGGAAATAAAGGGACGAAAGGAAGAAACCGCTTTGTGTGTGTCCTTTGTTCGCGGCAGCGTCACGGGCAGCGACAGGCTATGTCGCTGGACTCCCATGTAATCGACCGCAGTTCGAGTCCTGGACCTGGTGGCTTAAACTCATGCTGGCGCATGTGCGTGTGCGCCCAAGATCCCAAGAGGAAAACGGAGGAGAAGGGATTACAGCGTGGCCGTGCCCCCTTGGTGGGGGAGGTGATTTCTTGCTTTCTCTCTCTCTCTCTCTCTTTCTGATGAACGCACATGCCTTGTGGCAAAAACCTTTCCCCTCCAAAAAAGAATTTACCCTTCTGTCAAGAGCTGCCAGTCCCAGTGCACTGTTTTCTAACTGGGAAAAGGCCCCGCAGAGTGGTTTCTTTTAGACTTTTCAAGATCGGCCTCATGAGAGTGAGCCTGTGACCTTGCCTGGCATCATTGTCAGTGGCTTCTGAAATTTGGACCAGAGGCATTGGATGATGAGGTTGGGGAAGAGGAGGAGAAGAGTTTCAGAGCAGTCCCAGACATGGGGTGCATGGAACGCAGCTGCCTTGGTTGAATCCAGAACCAGAGGGCTGGGCATCCTAAGCTGAACCCGGAGATCTTCCCACCAGGTCAACTGTGCCCTTCACAACCAGCACAACCCATAACTCTGTAGAGTCCAACGTCGTGGAGCTCTCCAGTTTCACAGCTGGCTTATTCTGGCACTTAAGAAAAGCCAAACAGCAAATTGTAGTCTGCACAGAAGAAAAATGTTCTTGTCTGTCTTTTTGTTTGGAGTGCAGGAGAAAGGGAATATGGTTATCTCTTCGCAGACTTCCTGTGGGAGTAGACGTTTAGTTTTAGGATTAGCTCACCTGCTCACTGTCGTGCACCTTCATTTTATCCAGGGGCATTTTTGTTCACCTAAGCTTGAGCGTAAACTCCCAGGATGTGGCAGTAGCGAGGGAGGGGCAGGGGGGAAGGTAAAATGTCATTGTACACTGCTGATTCTGTGCTGGGACACTCACATTCAACCCTCAGGCCACGCCAGGACGTTTGTGTTATTATCCTGTTGGGCAGATAAGGGAACAGGCTGAGACAGGGAATCTGTCCAGTCCAGAGTTCCTTAAATACGGGAGCAGTGGGGCTCGAACTGGACAGATGTTTGAACTCAAAATTTCAGGGACTCCCAGACTCTTAGCGTCCTTTCCTAACTGTAAAATCTCCAGTATTATTTAACTAAAAAAGGACAGAAGGGTGTCGGGGAGAAGAGGAGGGGGCGTGGGGTAAAAAAGAACTGGAGAACTACAAAGCACACGGCGACAACATCGCTTTCTTCTTGGGAGCCATTACTACATCTGAGTAAGACGTGTTTGCTCTTTAGTTCACAAGATGTAATCTCCAGTTCAAAGGAGGTGCTGTGTTTTTAGGAAATGAATGTAGCTCAAAGGGTGGGAGCTTCTAATGCATGGTTCAATAAAGATGGACAGTGTAGAAGAAACCGGGGCTTGAAGCTGCCTCCTTATCCGTGGGAGATGCTACACCAATGGCAGATAGATACCCACGTAGGGAACCCAGTTTGCCTAACCAGCCAGGGGAGAGCTGATGTCTCATGGGGCCAAGCTTCTCACTGGGAAGGGCTTTTCTCCATCTTCCTTGTATATTGCTGTTTATAACTTTTAAGGCAAATTGCTTATATTTTAAGTTATAAGTTACAGGTTGTTCCTTGTATATTTCTTTTTATGTCTTTTATGGCAAATTGCTGCAGAATCCTGGCCAAAGTGATTCTTAGAATGTGGTGGGCTCTATATACAAATATAAATAGTTTATTTAAAACTCCCAAGAGTTTGCTATGGAGTTTCCACCTTTGCTGAGATAGCCAAGAAGAGATCAACTTATCTTCTGAACAGCCACGTGAAGTATTTACTTGTGTGCTTTTTGCTTTTCCTTTCTGTTCCTATGCCAGTTTCGATACAAGAAGCGGGTGTACAAGCAATCCAACCTCGATGAGAAACAATTGGCCAAGCTCCACACGAAGGTATGCCTAGAATGTTATCTTGTCTCTTTATCTTTAGAGAGTTTCTCTTCCGGGGGGTACCTTCTGTGTCCCTGGCATGGTGTACAGCACACTGGGTTGTCTAGGTGCAGGGGGCCTGCCTCATGCCCACGCTGCCAGAGGCCACCCCTCCTCCCTGACACAGACACAGACACACACACACACACATACACACACACACACACACACACCTTCCAAGAAGCAGCAGGGATTATATGTTAAAGCTGATGGGGGCTCATGGCAGAGGGGGGCAAATCTCACTGGGTGCTCCAGAGAGATCCCAAAGCAGTGGCACCCTCTTGGAGGGTGGGATCTGGACCCACGCTGGAGTAAACAGTGCATGTCAAGCACTATGATAGTTTCTACCGTTGTGCCATCAGCCCAGACCTTACTAAAATGCTCTTGATAGAGACCACAACAAGGTCAGTCTCACACTGAGCAACAGGGAGCGGAAGGGCCGCATTACAGGAGTGTCCAGTACCAGGCTGAGAGTGCCGTGGGACTCTGTTCCTAGAGCACCCATCCTGCTGGGCCCTTGCAGCATTCATGCCATGGACACTGTCTTTGTCAGGGAGGCCATGCCAGTCAAGTCAAGGAGGATTTTTTGGCTGCTATAATAAAATACCTTGGGTAACGTATGAACAACAGAATGTTTACTTTTCCTAGTTCCTGAGGCTGGGAAGTCCAAGGTCGAGGTGTGGCAGGCCCAGTGTCTGGTGGAGGCCTGCTCAGTGGCTCATAGATGGCTCTTCTATGTGCATCCTCACATGGTGAAAGGGCAAGGCAGCTCTGGGGGAATCCTCTGACAAGGGCACTAACTCTACTCATGGGAGCTCTGCCTTGTGACTTAATCACCTTCCGAAGGTTCCACCCGTCAATACCATTGGGTAGGGAATTCTATGATGTAAGAATTTTTGGAGGACACAAACATTAAGTCCATTGCACAAGGACAGTGAACAGTGGGATAGCGAGGGGTTAGAAACATTCACCTCGAACAGGATGACTGTGCGTGCCAAGTGTTGTTACTGTGCTCAGCCTTGGGGTTCCAGACACAACCGCTGCTCAGTGAACCCTGTGTGGGCAGTCGGTCTAGGAGGGGCTCTGACAGGAAAGATGAACGTATACCTCAGTAAGGGACCTCCCTGTAGCCTGTAGCATCATTTCTTATAAAAACATTTCTGTGTTTTGTTTTTTGCTTTCTTTTAGACCAATCTGAAGAAATGCATGGATCATATTCAGCATCGTTCGGTGGAGAAAATCATCAAGATGCTGGATCGAGGCCTGGATCCCAATTTCCATGACCTGGAGACGGGAGGTGGGTGCTTGTGTGAGACCTAATGCATATTCTGTCGTCCTTGATCTTCTTTGTTTTTTTTTTTTTTTTTTTTTTGGAGAGATTTTCACTATAGGGCACGTGCACTCACCAGAAAGACAGAGAGACAGAAAGTGAGAAATCACCCCCCAGGGGGGATGGTCACTCCGCAATCCCTTCTCCTCCATTCTCCTCTCGGGATCCTGGGCACGCACGCACACGCATCCGGCGTGAGTTTTAAGCCACCGGGTCCGGGACGCGAACCGCAGTCGACTACGTGGGAGTCCAGCGACATAGCCATTACGCTATGTTGATCTTCTTTGTTTTTTAAAGTATGTTCTTGTAGCCTAGTGGCTCCTTGAGCAGAAGAGCTGAACCTGCATTGCTCACCATGGTGTCCCCAGGACTCAGCACACAGTCCCTATACTCAGTGGGTGCTTGGCACATAGTTCTTGAGTGAGGGAATGAATGAATGACTTGCAGGCCATCCCGGGGCACCTGGGCCTCGTATATTTATAGACGCCGGGGATACGCACTTCTGTCTCTGCCCGGCACGGGCCTCCTACCAGGCCTAAGCACAGGACTATCTCACCTCCCCTGCTGGAAACCAAATTCCTTGTGAGCGTGAGCCTTTAAGCATTCATGAAGAAAGAATGTCACAGGTTCTTGGTACTTCCATGAATATGAGGTTTTTGGTTTGCACTTTTTTTCTACCCTTACGTACCAGAGGGTGTGTGCACTTGGGAGAGAGAACAAAAACCCCTCCTAGTGGAGAATGGTCACACTGTAATCCTTTTTCCTCAATTTCTCTATCCTCTCAGGATTTGGGGTACACAGACACACGCACCCGGCGTGTTTTACAAGTCACCAGGACCCAGACTCTTAACTGCAGTCTGGATCTGGGTCCGAATGCACAGCCTGTGACCATGGCACTATGGGGCCAGCCCGAATGTGAGGCTCATACCTGGCACCATTGACGTTTTGATCTGGATCATTCTTTCCTGTGGAGGTGACCTATGCCCTGGAGGGTGTTGACAGCATCCCTGGCCTCCACTGCTAGACGCCTGTAGCAACCACCTTTAACTACCAGCAGTGTCTGTGGATGTTGCCCAGTGTCCCCTGGGTGGGAGCACAGCCACCCCACATGAGAGCCCCGTGCCATGGAGACAGCTGCCAAAGCTGGCAGGCCGAGGCTAAGTCCATGTGGGAATCTGAGAGCAGCTCAGGTGAGAGTCTCCATAGCAACTTGGAGCGTGCACCTCATCAGACGGCTTATTTTGGGCTAAAGAACGTTCCTCTTATACTCAAGGGAGTGGAGACCTCCTCCTCTCGGGGTGTATCAGCCTGCTCCTGGCTCCTGCCGGGGTCTGTGCCATCGTCACACACAGGTGTCATGCCTCAAAATTAGTAAGCACACAATAAATGCCTTGTCCGCTGAAGAATGACACTTTCTCATCATTTGTGGGGGGCCCCCTGGCCCTGAAGCTGGGGAGGCAGAGCACCCAGTAGCCCCCCCCAGGCATGTCCCTGCACCGTCAGACCTGGCTGGGGTGCTTCCCTTGCCTCTTTGCTCCTGGGACTTCGTTTAGATGTGAGCAGCGTTCGAGCAGGGCAATGGGCTCGCTCCTGAGTGCAGCCGTGATGCCAGAGACATCAGGACACTGCAGGAGAGCTCACTGGGAGAGGGTGGGATGGAGCACGTGCACTCGGTAGGGGCAGGAAGGCTGAGAGTGTGCACTGCTGGGGCCAGACAGAGCTGGCACACTGAGAGTGAGGTATGGCCTGCAGGTGCCTGGCGGGAGATGGCGGCACCAGGCCCATCGCTGACCTCCACGAGGAAGGGAAGGCCCAGGTGTTTGAGGGCAGGGGAGTGACAGGAAGCCTTCTGTGGCCTCAGAGAGCCTGAGCTTTTTGGCCATGTCTCTCTCTGTGCTAATGTGGCCGGCCTCTCTGTTGTGTCATCCTCCGGACTGGGCTCTGCTCTGTGTAGCCAGGAGCCTTTCCAGCTGATGCTGGGAGTGATAGCTCCCCAGCATGTGAGTGCTAAATGTAAGTGGGCCATGGGGTCCTGAGCATGCACTTGAGCCTTTGGGTTCATTCACAGGTGACCTTCATATAGACCCAGATTTGTGTCCTCAGGTTCCCTGACCTGCATTCTTCCCTGGGCCTTGGGTCCCACTGGCTTGGGGAGAACTGCTCCATCTTTGTCCTGGCCTCATCATGGCTTCCGATGAGCCTATGGGGAGCTGAGTCTAGGCACAGTGCCCATCTCTCTGCCTCATTCTGGTGGGCAGGAGAAGGAGCGAGGGGGTGCACTCTGAGCTGTTCGTTTCTTCCCACATGACCCCTCTAATTGCTCCTTCCCATCACGAGCCAGGCTTCTCCGTACTTCTTTCACTGGGGTGTTGGTGTCCTGTGGACTTAAGAGTTCTGAAATGACTGTGCCTCCAGGAGAGACCCTTTCTGCATCTAAGAACACGTGCAGACTCTGCTGTTTCAAAGCAGAGGTGTGCAGCTCTGTCCCAGGGCCCTCATGGAGCTCACCCTGCTGCTATCAGGACTGAGTCAGGACCAAGCTTAAACTCCTTGACTGCAGTGAGCCTTCCTGGGCAGTGATCCCTGACGACGAGAGCAGCAGAAGTGGGACCCTTCACAACGTCCCCCAGAGCTGGGTGGATATGATGGGGGCTGCTGATCAGTGAAGGCAGCGTGGCACTGTCCCTGCCGGCTTACTGAGGAGAAGACCAAACCCACAGAAACAGCAGGAACCCCTTTCCAGTCAGATCCCTGTAAAGTGCCTCCTGACAAAGCACATGACTAAGGACAGGTGTTCTGGGGTGTCCAGCAGGCCCAGGGGGCTGAGATGGCACCTGCCCCTGCCCCACCCTCCAACCCTGCACCCTCCCCAGCTCCTGCTCAAGAGCACGATTTAGGAGGGCAGATCTATTCATGCTTATGAGACCAAGTGTAGAAACGCAGGGTTCTGTTTTTATTCTCAACAGCAATCATTATTTTCTTTTTTTAAAAATTTATTGAACTTTATTTACTCGGTCATTCATTTTTTAATTTGACCAGAGAGATACACAGAGAGAGAGAGAGAGAGAGAAGATAAGAAAGCAAGCCGCCAGGTCCAAGACTTGAACTGTGGTCAGCCATGTGGGAGCATCCAGTGCCTTAACCACCACGCCACCCACTAGTCCCAGCAATCATTATTTTCAATTTAAAAATATAAAGCAGTGATGGAATCATTTCTCACATAGTGGTTGCCAGATAGATTTTCTCTGTCAATTTTTCTTCTAGTAGCAGTTACTATTCCTCTGCAAAGCAGAGCATTCCCTCCCTTACTTTTTTTTTTTTTTTTTTAGTTGACTTCATTTTTAGGGGGGAGTTTTAGTTTTACAGAAAATTAAATAGAGAGTACAGAGTTCCACATTACCTGCCCCTCCTACTTCTTGTATTTATTAACATTGCACAATTGTATGGCACACTTGTTACAGCTGATAAGACAATATTGACACATTATTATTTTTATTGCTATTTTAAGGGCCCGTGTGCTCTACAAAGAGACGGAAAAAGAAAGTGAGAAATCATCCCTCAGGGAGGACGGCCATGCCACAGTCCCTTCTCCATTTTTCCTCTTGGGATTTTGGGCATGTATGCACATGTGCCCAGCGTGATTTTCAAGATGCCAGGTCCGGATTCAAACCGTGATTGGCCAGGTGGGAGTCCAGTGTCTTAGCCACGATGCCACCTGCTGGCCCCAATAGATTACTATGAACTGAAGTCCAGAATTTATGTGAGTCCTCTCTGTGTTGTACGTTCTGTGGCTTTTGACAAACGTACGATGATACGTATGTGCCGCATTACCACACAGAGTAGTTTCTGCCCTGAACGTCTCTGTGCTCTGCCTGTTCCTCCCCCGCTCCTTGAGCCCTGGCAACCGCTGGTCCTCTCGCCGCCTTCTCCAGACTGTTGGAGTTGAATCATACTGTGTGTGGCTTGTTCAAATTGGCTTATTTCACTTAGTAATAGCCATTTAAGGTTCCTCCATGTCTTTTCACGGCTTGGTAGCTCTTTTTTTTTTTTTTTCTTAAGCACTGAGTGATACTCCATTTTCTGGAGGGGCCAGCTTGTGTTTATCTGTTCACCTACTGAAGGACATCATCGTGGTTGCCTCCAAGTTTTGGCAGTTGTGGATTCAGCTGCTGTAACTGTCCATGTGCAGGATATTTACATAATGACCAGCGATCAAACAGAGTGGAGTTTTTTAAAACAAAAAAAAAGGAAAAGAAAAAGGCTACAGCAAGCCAAAAGGGACAAGGGTACAATTAAGGCAGAAAGTTCGGAAACCAGAGGTCAAGTGTCAAGATTCCGCCACAGACAGGACTGGAGCCATCCCAGGGCCCCACCCCAACTCCACCACTTGTTGTCGATGTTTTAAGACTTCTCACTCCTATCTCCAAATCAGGAGAGAAGCAGACAGTTTCTGAGTGAGGGGAGGGTAAATGGGAGCCCAGGGTGAGGAGGAAAATGAGAAAAGTGAACAAGGCTGGATGATCTCCGAACAAACCAACTAGCAGGACCTTCCAGGACAGTGGTGTGTAGCACCCTGACTATAATTCATACGAGAGGCCAGAGCCAGGTGCTGTCAGGGAAACATTTTGCTCAGTTTTCTTTGCATTGGTCAAGACACAGTTGATGGACCAAGTTATCCTCCCAGTGGAGATACACACACCCAACAGTAGATGAAGCAGCAGTGTTCGAGACCCTGGACGTCAGTAGTGCAGGACAGTGACCCCTGAGTGGGGACCACAGAGGGAGATGAGCCCTCTGAATGCCAGCTCTGTGCCCACGCCTGGAGAGGGAGCACCAGGAGGGGCCAGCAGATTTCAGTGCTGGCTTCAAAAGACTAGGTTAATGAGCCCCTCTGAACTTCTCTCTCTTCATCTCCTAAATTAGCTGGTGATAGCTAGAGGGTGAAGAAGTGCCACATTTGATGGGCG